TTTTTTAAAATGGAAATCTCTATTGTTTATTATACTATCTTATTCTACTAATTAATATGAACAACTATTGTCTGAAAAATTTTTTCAATTGCCTAATACTTTTTAAGATACTCAAGAGAAAATTTATAACTTTTTCAATGTTTAGCTTATAATCTCTCGATAACTGTTTGTCGGAGGGAAAAGTAGTACAGGACTTTTTTACTTGATTTAGTCTCAAGAATATGCTGTTGCAATGGTGTTTCAATTATTGAAAAATTTTGTGTTACAAGCACCGTCTGCAGCGGGCTTTAGATATTTTGTTTTATCAGAGAGATCATCAAGGTTAGAAAGAGAAACTCTGATGCATTACAGAGTGCATGAAACAAGGATGGATTATAGCATACCAACTTTTCGACACTAAATATTTTATTTTTCACAGTTGGTAGCCCTGGGAAACTGTAGCCACAAAAGAGACGGAGAGCGCAGATATTTAGAGAGAGACACCGTCGAACTGAGCACACCATGTTATCCCTTCCACCATGCTGTGGTCGGAGAGGGGATGACGCACACAAGCGAGCAGCCGTGTGCGCGTGCGACCTGCGCTTCGACCAACTTCGCCGGACCACATATACATATACATATATGTATACAGGGTGTCCTGAAATTCGCGAATCAAAATACCATAGCAAGAAAGTCGTCGAAATAATAAATTAAAAAGTTATTTACCATTTTTCGTTCCGAGCAGTAGTTTTTTTAGATAAAAAGGTTCAAAACAGGCCAATTATACATTACGGTTGAATGGAAACCTGTCCGTGAGTCGCGCGTCGATAGTTTAATGCACTAACACTATCAACGCGCGACTCACGGACAGGTTTCCGTTCAACCGTAATGTATGATAGGCCTGTTTTGAACCTTTTTATCTAAAAAAAACTACTGCTCGGAACGAAAAATGTTAAATAACTTTTTAACTTATTTTTTCAACGACTTTCTTGCTATGGTATTTTGATTCGCGAATTTCAGGACACCCTGTATATGTACATGCAGAAAGAATAATGCATGCATGATGAAACACGATAAGGTATCGGAGCTCGTTAGTAGACGTTTGATTGCTAAAAGAAAAAAAAACACAAATCGTGTCCATTAAATTAGAAATTTTATCAGATTTCAATACTAAAAAAATTAATTTCATTCTCTTATATTTCGTAATTAAAATCGCACACGCATAATCCTTGAAGAGATTTTGTTTATTGAACACGTGATTCATAAGTTTGAAATTAATACAGCGTAAGATACAATAATACTGAACTCGTTGACTTTCGAGTTTTCTCGAGGTATATGCTCAAGCAGAAGAAAGAGAATGTTAGAAATAAGGTCAAAAGAATAAAATCTCTATGTATATTCTTGTATGTATACATATATTTTATTAAATTAGATTTTAATATTATAAAAATTAATTTTATTCATTCTCGTATTTTATACTCTTTTACACCTTACAATTGAAAGTGTGCATACGGGGTACGTTTGCCTTTCACATTTGTGTAACGGGTTTTAAGCCCAGTAAACTAAAGCATTTCTCTAGAACAAGCGCGGTGGCTTCCGCAAGCAAAAGACGGCCCGTATTTACTTTCACAATTTCGCCAGATTGATTCTTTTCCACACAGTAGCATTTATCGTAAAATTCGGTAAACGCGCACGAGACCTCGTAACAAAACTCGCACAATGGATGCAAGTATAGCTCCTCGTTAACGTCGAGAATTACATCGGGGAATTTTAACAGCACTTTGGCCAGTTTCCATTCTTTCTCGTGCTCCAGTGAAATTGGAATTTCGTGCAAGCGCTGTCGCAACTCGTTCCTCGTGATGTTCGCCGTTCTGGCGATAGAACGAATTCGAGTTAAAGCGTACAATAAATAAACGGCTGTGTTGCCTTTATCCTCCAGCATTTTATCAAATGAAAATACATATTCGTGATTCCTATTGTGTACTAAATCGGCATATTTTATGCAACCATACGCTACGGATTCTTGGGCCGCTTTCAGTTCTTCCTTGGATAATACCTTGTCGCGTTCTTTCTCCTTTAATTTCTGTAGCGCTCTCTTCAAGCCTAAACGACATAACGTATATGGATTAAACTTTTTGAAACGAGACGAAAGATAACAATACCAAGCAAACGATAGAAATCGCTTTATTACCTTCGTCTAACAACTCGCAAAGTTTTACAGTGTCGCCGGACCTCGTTTTAAATTTCTTCTTGTCTTCGCCCAAGACAACACCGAAGCCCACATGATCCATCCTGTGAAAGCTCTTCAAAATACCTGCCCTTTTGGCACAACTTTCCAACATCTGAAAGTGCAGAGACTGACCCGCGTCTGTCACGTAGATCAGCTGTAAAATTAAGATTATATTACAAGGCAATTTGTATTGATAGAATAGAAACGTGATGCGCTTGTAGCATACATGATACTTGCCCAATCTGCTCTTTCCTTTTCAACACGATGCTTAATAGCAGCCATGTCTGATGTATCGTACGTAAACCCGCCATCGGATTTTACTATAGTTAAAGGTATTCCGCTACCGTGTTTCTCTCCCCACATTACCTTCCGCCCGTTATCTTCTTCCAGCAGATTTTTTGATTCTAGCTCTGGAACTATCGACTCCATATATTTCTGATAAAATGACTCGCCTCTTTCTATTAATTTGATATCCAGTCGAGCGTACACATTTTCAATTTCTGCACCAAACGTAAAAGCAATTAGTAAATTACTCGTTTCCTTCCAGAATGAATAATATATAGTGTATAGTTGTTTTTTTTTTGCTGCTGCCTACCTCGCCTAGATACATCGCATATCATTTCCCACGCTTTTGTTATATCAGGCTCGAAAGCCTGCAATTTAACGACGCACTCGTACGCGCGTTTTTTGAACTCTTCATCTTGGTCAAACCTAGTCTTAGATTCCTTATAGAAGGTCTGTGCGTGTAGACGAATATAATATATAAACAATTGGTACGCTTATTCAGAAAATAATTCTAGCAATTATCATCAAGTACGGTTATAGTCACCTGAAGGTCCTGGATTGAAGGAGCGACGGTTAAATAATTGGGAAACTCATCTTGAAGATGCGCTATCAACATACCAAACTGTGTACCCCAGTCACCTATGTGATTGAGCCTCAACACATTGTGTCCCAGGTATTCCAACAGTCTCGAGATACTATCCCCGATTATCGTGGACCTCAAATGCCCCACGTGCATCTCCTTGGCGATGTTAGGACTAGAAAAGTCAACAACTACTCGCTTCTTCTTAACGTACGGAGGAAGAACTTGGCCAGTCCATAACCAGCTGCACAAAACGGATTGTCCAAATTCACGTTTCAGGTACACGTTTATATATCCTGCACCAGCTATCTCGTATCTCTCGATAACGGAGGATACTTCCAGCTTGGACACAATTTCTTTAGCAACATCACGCGGAGGTACTTTGGTACCTGTAATAATAATAATTCATGCGTCAGAAAAACAAAGTTTAGCCATTTGTCTCTCCTCTCATTCAAAGTGTGTCATCACTAAAATATTAAGACTTTTGTTGCTTAAACATTGTTGACTGTATGGAGAGAAGCAATGATCGCTGTAGTAGTGCAGTAAATAAACTCTTTAAACAGTAGAAATCTTCCTGGTATCAGATTCAGACAGTACAGTATTACAAAGGTACCCGATACAATTCTGTCAAAGGCTGTACATAGTTTCATTAAATAAAATATGAAAAAAACATATTTTAAGATATTTAATTTTTTACCAAGACTACTCAGTTGTTGTGCCAAAGGCATAGCACTGTTACACTGATAATCTCCAAACTTTGGATTAGAGCCAGTGGTGACTATTACTGGTGGGTCCACTATATGGGGATAAGCAGCACTGATGGCCTTGCAAAAGACCGTACAGAGATGATCCCTTATACTGATCGTATACGCAGTTCCAAACAGCTCCATCCTATCGTCCAGTTTGTTCCTTTGCATTTCCACGGTCTACAAAACAATTAACACGCGGAATGAACGTACCGCTAAATGGACAGAATCTCAAACTAAGAGCTGCCCTTGCAATAATATGCGTCAAGTTTCTACGCTGTTAAAAATCTACCCTCTTGAGTATCGTTATCCTGTGAGTCAACTTCGCGTTCTCCTGTTGCAATTTTTCAAACTCCTTACTTATATCGTTCGGAGCATCAGTCGCGACGTTCCGTTGCAGCGTCTCGAGCTGCCGCTTTAAATCGAGTATCTCTCTCTCCTGTAATATTGGACAGCATGTGAGTTTCACATAACCTCGTAACTACCCGGGCTACCGAGTTAGCGCAGATTTTCTAACACGGCGGCACCGAGATATCGAGAATTAATGGGTAAAAAAAATTTTACCGCTGCAGCCGCTCGTTCGTTAAACACGTTCATATCCTTTTTCGACATCATTCCAACCTTCCTTCACTTTTCACGCGGTAACGTCGGACGGCAACGTGGTGCGGAGCTTGGAAGTGCTTGGAAGAGACAAGGCGACAAGATAGGCGACAAGATAGGCGACTTGTGACTTGTGACTAAAGCCTCCGCTACACAATGATTCTCGGTTCTGTCTACAATGGTCGTAGTCGTAAGAATAATCGACTGCGATTGGTCAATTCTTATCGAGCGATTACGACTACGACCATTGTAGACAGAACCGAGAATCATTGTAGCGAAGGCTTTAAAATTAAAAAAACACTTGGTACGTCCGAAAATAATTAAAAATTCAACGTGTATAGATGTATAGATCTAGTGTGAATCGCGCTAGATATCCCGTCTTGCCGGCTAACCGAGCATCGATGGCACGTCGCGGGAATTACAGCGATCACGTGATGATATCCGATCGCTGAAGGCCTTCACACATAAAATTCCGTAAGGACGTAAAACGTAAGCATAAGAAAATCGACCAATCACAGTCGAGAACGTAAGGCAATGACGCAAGCAGTAGCAAATCCAACCTGTTCATTTTCTTACGCTTACGTTTTACGTCCTTACGGAATTTTATGTGTGAAGGCCTTGATTATTCACAGAGAGCGAGCGCGGTCTTTCTTCACGTACATAAGGCCTTCACACATAAAATTCCGTAAGGACGTAAAACGTAAGCATAAGAAAATCGACCAATCACAGTCGAGAACGTAAGGCAATGAATGTGTTCGAAAATGGATTTAGTTACTGCCAGTGAAAACAGTATAGTTGGTAGCAATGAAAATTACTGGTGCTGCGTTTTTCGCACGCCAGTAAAGTCAGTAAGGCTGGGTCTACATTGGATGTCGTAAGTCGTGTCGGAAGAAATTGACCAATCACAGTTCATTATTCGACTTACGACATCCAATGTAGATCCAGCCTTACTGACTTTACTGGCGTGCGAA